AAACCTTGATTGAGTTTACTGCCCCATTGCCCTTGACAGTGAGTGTTCTGCCACGCTGCACCCTTTAATATGAGTGTTACTCCAGCCCGCACCTTGATAGTGAGTGCTACCGTCAACCTGTACCCTTTGGGATGAGTGTTTCTGCCACGCTGACCTTGACAGGGTGTTACTGTCCCAGCACATTGACAAAGTTTACCGCCACACTGCCTTTTGGGCAGTGAGTGTTACTGTCACACTGCACATTGACAATGATCTTACCGCCACACTGCACCTTGACAGTGAGGTTACTGTCAACGCACCTTGAATGAGGGGACTGTCACGGGAATTGACAGTGAGTGTTTTAAATGCTCCTTTATAGTGAGTGTTACTGTCACACTGCACATTGACAGTGAGTGTTACTCACACTGCTCCTTGATAGTGAGTGTTACTGTCACACTGCACATTGACAGTGAGTGTTACTGTCACACTGCACATTGACAGTGAATGTTACTGTCACACTGCACATTGACAGTGAGTGTTACTGTCACACTGCACCTTGCGTGGTGTTACCCGTCACACTGCACTTGACATGAGTGTTATCACACGCTCCTTGAAGTGATGTTACTGTCACACTGCACCTTGACAGTGAGTGTTACTGTCACACTGCACATTGACAGTGAGTGTTACTCACACTGCTCCTTGATAGTGAGTGTTACTGTCACACTGCACCTTGACAGTGAGTGTTACTGTCACACTGCACCTTGACAGTGAGTGTTACTGTCACACTGCACCTTGACAGTGAGTGTTTTTTGTCACATGCACCTTACAGGTTACTGCCCAGACTGTCCCCTTTCGTTATTCCCCTTTTTGTTACACTGATTTACAATTATCCATATTTTATAATTACTAATATTAAGTAAAATTTAAAACTGAATAATAATTTAGCCTGAACTGGCAATACTTGATGAGGTCAGAAAATTTCTGCATGAAAACACCGCTACTGACATCTAGCGGTGTTTGTTTAAACAACAGTTTCATGCAAGTTGGCCCCAAAAATTTGGAAAAAATATGGGTAATACCCCTCAACCTTTAGTCGAGTGTTCAGTCCCTCAATCTTGGACTGATGAAGCCACTGTGTGGCGAAACGTTTCCTCAATAAAGATACCCAAGAGTTGCACATGTGTCTAATTTATCAACATGTCGGTTCTCTGAACCATTCACTACAATTCTGGATAATACAAGGTAAAATCTGAAAGGTTTTTTTAAGGGGAAATACAACGTATATTTTTTATTATAAAAACGTTGTTAGAATTATGGGAAAATTTTAGGTAAAAGGAACAAATGCAACTGTTGTGACATATTATTGTGATTTTTAAAATGATTTTGTTTAAGAGCGAAACGTTGCCCCCAAGTAAAAATTTTACACTAGATTCCTTTGTCCTTTTTTCCCGACAATTTTTTTTATTGCCTAAAATTTTAGCAAAAAGAAGCTATTCTATTTTTTTCAAAATTAAATTTTTTCATCCTTTACTATGGTTAAGTCGACAAAAATTGAAAGTTAAATTTTAATACAGTTTTGACAGAAATTTTCCGCAAAATACGAAAAATTCACAGTATTATTTTTTAATAACCCTTTTAAAACAAATCTTTTTTTTCAAAAATATATAATATTAATTTCGAGCTTTTTAATAAATAGTAAAGAACTTTAAGTAAGTTTCTTTTCCTTTTAAATAAACTCGTATCAAATTTTTTAAGGGGGTTCGCCGTTTTTGGCAAGTTGCATTATATGTGTGTGTGTGTTGGTGTGTGGTGGGTGTGTGTGTGTTTTGTTGTGTGGTGTGTGTGTGTGTTTTGTGGTGTGTGTGTTGTGTGTGTGTGTTGTGTGTGAATATATCATGTAAAGAACGGAAGTTGTTTTATTAATTGTCCTTCTCAGCGTCAAACTTGACTAGGACGAAGGCAGCGTTCTTCCTGGTGTTTTCACCGAAGACTCTCTTGGCTACCTATTCTGTTCCCCTGAAGAGCCTCACATCATCAGTGATGTTGGGGGCCGTGGGAAAAGAATGAGATCATCTGCAGATGGTAACATCAATAAGATCAGGCAATATCATTGTGATGACGGGTGTCATATTGTCTTTGTCTCCTGGTCTCACTGTCTCTCTTAGTCTCATGGTCACTAAGCACCCTCAATGTCTCACTCAAAGTTCACAGTCTCCACATAGTCTACCCATCTTTTATACTCTGTCTTCTCATTGTTTCACGGTACATCTCCCGAGAAACATTATATTCCCTTAATCTCACTGATTTTGGATTACATAGCAACGCTCTTCTTGCCGAATAAGGCAAAGAAAAATTTCTGTATGCAATAATTTCGCAAAAATCATTATGAACCTAACCAAAAAAAGTATATTTTATTGTGTTTGTTTATTAAATTATTCTAAACATATCTAAAATTTATTTAGTTGGATTAGGCTAAATTAAATTGCAAATCCTAAAAACCACTTGTCTCCACTCGCTGCTAGCTAAAACATTCACGAATGCTTGCTGGAAGTCAAAACCCCTCGCACACAAAACCTCCTTTACTCCCCTCCAACCTTTCCTAGCCCGACCCCTACCCCGCCTTCCATCACTACAGATTTATAGGCTCTCCAGGTCATTCTATTTCGTTCCATTCTCTCTAAATTTCCGTACCATCTCAAGAACCCCTCCTCAGCCCTCTGGATAATACTTTTAATAACCCTGCACATCCCCTGTTTTCCAAACTATGGATTCTGTACATTATATTCACACCACACAATGCCCTCAGACATGACATCTTCACTGCCTCCAGCCTTCTCTTGTTGCAACACTTACCACCCATGCTTCACACCCATATAAGAGCATTGGTATGACTATACTCTCATTCATCCCCCTTTTTGCTTCCATGCAAAACGTTCTTTGTCTCCACAGACTCCCCAATGCGCCACTCACCCTTTTTCCCCTGATCAATTCTGTGTTTCACCTCGTCTTTCATAGACCCATCTGCTCACAAGTCCACTCCCAAATGTCTGAATGCATTCAATTACATACTCCCTCCCTCTGTCCCTCCAATCTGATATCGAATCGTTCATTACCTAATTTTTTTTGTTATCCTAAGTTCACTTTAAATTTTCTTCTTTTCCATACCTACAAAGCTTTTCCACTAACCTCTGCAACTTCTCTTCAGAATCTCCCAAAAGCACAGTGTCATCAGCAAAGAGCAACTGTGACAACTCCCAGTTTATGTTAGATTCTTTATCTTTTAACCCCGCACCTCTTGCCAACACCCGAGCATTCACTTCTCTTACAACCCCTTCTATATATACACTGAACAACCATGGTGACGTCACGCATCCCTGTATAAGGCCTGCTTTTACTGGAAAATAAACTCCCTCTCTCTCCTACTATCCTACTATCTCTTCACTGCTTTCTGTAGCCTACCTCCTATTTCACACATTTGCAACATCTCCCACATTGCCTCCTCCTCCCTAACTACCCTATCATACAACTTTTCCAAATCCATAAATGCCACAGAAACCTCTTTACCTTTATCTAAATACTGTTCATTTATATGTTTCACAGTAAACACGTGGTCTACACACTCCCTACCTTTCCTAAAGCTTCCTTATTCCTCTGCGATCATGGTCTCCATCATACTCTTATTTTTTTCACTGATTAACTTTACCAGGTATACTCAACAGGCTTATTCCCCAATACTTCTTATAACTTACCCTCTTCCATATATTCATTAAATAAAAGCACTATAACCCCGCGTGCTTTTAACATTTCTGTCTTTATCCCATCAATCTCAGCTGCTTTACCCCCTTTCACTCTACCCACTGCCTCACACACTTCCCCCACACTCACAACTGGCTCTTCCTCACTCCTACAATATGTTATACCTCCCTGCCCAATACACGATATCACAGCTTCCCTATTTTCACCAACATTTAACAGTTCCTTAAAATATTCCCTCCATCTTCCTGATATCTCTAACTCTCCATTTAATAACTCTCCTCTCCTGTTTTTTTTTTCTCTCAAATCCATTCATTAATCTCACTCCAAAACTTTTTCTTATTCTTAGCAAAATTTGTTGATAGCCTCTCACTCACTCCCTCATTTGTTCTCCTTTCACATTCCTTCACCACTTTCTTAACCTCTCTTTTTATCTGAATATACTCCTCCTGCTTTGTATCACTTCTGTTTTGTAAAAAAAAAAAAAAAACTCATGCTATTTTTTTCCTCACTTTCCACTCTCTTCAGCTCATCATTCCACCAATAGGTCTTCTTTCCTCCTAAACCCACTTTCCTACGATCATAAACTTCTCCTGAATACCCTAACATTATATATATGTCGTGCCGAATAGGTAAAATTAGTCCATTAGCAAGAACTCATTTAAAATTAAGTCCTTTCTAAAATTTTCTCTTATACGTTTAAAGTTATATTTTTTCATTTATGTTAATGTAAAAAATAATAATTTTATATCAAAAGAACCTTAGAAAACTTACCTAACCTTATTATAACAAGCGCAATTTAATTTAGCCTAATCCAACTAAATATATTTTAGATAAGTTTACAATAATTTAATAAACAAATACGACGAAATATATTTTTTTCATTAGGCTAGGAATGATTTTAGCGAAATTGCATACACAAATTTTCACTTGCCTTATTCGGCAAGAAGAGTATTGCTATTTAAGCCAAAATCGCAAGTTTTACTTAGTATGCACGGCATATATATATATTATATATATATTTATATATATATATATATTATATATAATATATATATATATATATATATATATATTATATATATTTATATATTATATATATATATATATATATATATATATATATATATATATATATATTTATATATATATATATATATATGAAACTAATGCATGTTATTCCAAATAACATTATTTTTCAGCAATGCATTTTGAGGGGAAAATAATCCCTTAATCTCAGAATTTCATGTTAGTGAAAAACATTGCTTTCACTTTGTTTTAAGAAGCATTTTTCTACATTTTTCAAACATATTAGGACACCTAACATGTTTTTTCTCAATAAACTCTCCTCCAAAACAAGAACCCCAAGTGAAAACAATAACTAGATTGACTGGGCAGGAAAATCTGACCTCAAGAGCTGGGATGACGTCGAACTTGGTGTTCATTAGAACATCGAGGTCCGTGCCGCTCATGTCGAGCACCAGGAGGTCGATGGTGGAGGTGATGCCAGCAGCGTAGACCAGGTTCTCCAGAGGTACACACTGAGAGTCGAACTCCTCGTATTGTGTGTTATTCTACAGATAGAAATGGAAGAATATGATTATATTCACACACAAAGAATGCTAAAACCGTATGGATTATTAGTACTATAGAAAAGACTGAGAGCCTCACCTAATTTCTACGGTCACTTTTCCCCTCAAGGAAGGTTCCTTGATGTTGGTGAGGGGCTCTTGATTTAGGGAATTGGATCTGAGCTCCAGTTCCCCGAATTAAGCCTGAATGCCTTCCACATCCCCCCCCCAGGCGCTGTATAATCCTCCGGGTTTAGCGCTTCCCCCTTGATTATAATAATAATACGGTCACTTTTGTCTCAGGTAAACTACCCTCCTCCTCCTCCACCCCAGGATGCAACCCATAACCGATTAATTAACTTTGACATTTTTTAGATTTTTTTTTATAGCTAAAAGAAATATATAGATGAAGTAGATCAATGAAACACTTTTGCATAAGAACTTTTATGCATTTATTCACAAAAAGAAAAAAAGAAAATTTTCTTAACTGCTCTTTTGTTAATGACGTTTCTTACTGTAATGATGTTAGGAAACAACCACAAGCTTATTGTTACTTGCATCCAGACAGTTTCCAGCCTTTGCTGTTATGTGCAGATGTTTTGGAAAAGCCATTGTACACAAATAGGTGGTGAAAAATGGCCCGACAACTTTTAGAGTTTCTTGCTGTGGGAAGGTTTTGAGTTGAGCTGAGCTGAGCACACCAGAACTTTTATACCGGCGAATATCCTGGAAAAATCCTGCCATTCCGAAAAAAATCCTGCCTTATCGGGGGAAATCCTATTATACAATGAGCTTGATGTTCTTCATAAGAAAAAGACTGATGATCTCTCTAAGAGGAGTGAAGATGATGATCTCTCTACAAGGAGAAAGGGTGACGATACCTTTAAGAGGAGTGAGAATGGGTATCTCTTTTAGAGAAGTGATAGTGATTATCTCTCTATGAGTCGCTAATTGACAGTCGGTCCAACATTGACGATCTAAGTTAAATTACTTGAAAACTCAATTGAAGGGAGAAGATTATGATCTTATAAAAGGCTTTCAGATCACTTGTGCTAATTACCAGCACGCTACGTTCAAAAACTTAATTGCTGTGATAAGGATCGGATCATAGCCACACACCTCTATAGGCTGATTGATCACACCTCTCTCTTACACTGCTCATCAGAGTTACAAGCATTCAGAATCTTTCTGGATAACTGTCTTCGTTCTCTGGCCTCTTATGAAAACATAACGGGGAATGACTGGGTATTCAAGCCCATCATACAGAGAAAATTGCCAGAGAAGACGCTATAACACCTGGTTCTATGATTCGCTAAATGAAGGTTCACCTTTGGTGAGATAAGTGAAGGACCACAACATATTGTGGCCTGTATGCAAACTAACATGCAAACTAATACTAGCCAAGTCAAGCGAGCACCTGACAGGGCCTCACCCAAAGTGTCACCACTTATGACACCACCTGTCTGCAGGTACTACGCTAATGACAATATGGCAGTGTATGTGTTCTCGGTTGCCACACAGTGACAAAGGGAAAATTAGGGATAAGGGAAGTGGAGGAAGTCCACTCCACCTATCACGACTACATGTACTCCGAAATGTCTCCTATGTTGTGGCACACACTGGGCTCCATCCTGTGATAAGTTCACGACAATATCCTCCAGGGAACGGACTGTCTATGAGCTAAGACTTTGACACAAGTGCTTGGGTGACCACCAAGGAGGGGAATGTGATCCCCGACATTTAACATGCTGGAAATGTAGGGGTAACCATAACTTGCATAGAAAGCGAGAAGCAAGTCACAGCCGAGAACTGTCAAACTGATGGGGGTGACACCCCTCCCTCTCCGACCACCTTACTGGCAATGACCGCGCTGACTACCCTCTGTCAAGTAGCATTACCAGTAACACGACATACGTTACTGAGTAAGCTTCTGGGCACAGAAGTGATTGCGTTGTTTGATCAAGGAGCACAGAGATCTTTTGTCCGCCGAAGTACATTACATAAACTTGGTGTGACACCATATGACAATATATCCTTAGACCTCACTGGATTTTTTCCGGGTCCTGGCGAACAATCGTACGATCTAGCCAGTGTCACAGTTGCTCTGGGTAGTTATAAACGGTCAGTGCAGCAGTAGCAGACCAGCTTCTTGATAGTATGTGAATGAGAGGCTTGCAGGATGCCGTTGCTACATTAAAAGAAGAATATATAGAACTTGCTGACCTTAACTTTCAGTCTGACAAGGTTGGGCCAGTAGACCTATTAATTGGCGGCGACCATTACAGTAACTTTGTACGGGGACTGACAAGAGTGAATGACCTCTCCCTGCTGAGCGCAGCTTGCGGTCATATGATATTAGGGCCACTCCCAAGGGTGAGGGAAGTGACCATGAAGACAATGACACTGTCGAAAGTGTCCTAGTGATGGGAATTACTGCCCTCCACTGTCCTGCCACTACCGCACACCTAGCTTGTCAGTACAGTGTCGGGTTACTGCCTGAGGGCGAACGACCATCACAGAAACCCAACCTCAAGCCAGCAGACACAATCTGCTTGAACACAGCTACGAGTCTGAGTTACCAATTGATGGGTCTAAATACTCCTCACTAGACAAAGTCTTGACAGCCACTTTTCGTGTCTACACATCCCTGCAAGTACAGGGAAAGCGTGAATTCTCTAAACCCATGAAATATTGGGTAAAACAAATACAAGAAACGCTTTCAGATGACCATGATTTCCTGAAGAACGGGAATCAACCAGTAAAGAAACCGGATTTAATTTGGACACTGGGACTCTGCCTGGACACAGAAACAAATTTGGGTGAGATTATAACAGGGCTCCCAAAATTTGATATGTAGGGCCAGTAACTTCTATGGGACGAAAATCGTAAGGCATCTACAAACAAAATGTTGTTCAAATGGGAAGATTTCAACTATTAGACAGATGACTGAGCAATTTGACAGTAAATTTAGAGTCGGTGAATTCTTGATACGATCCCAGGATTGTTTTTTAAAACAGTTTGTGAGAAGGGGTGGGGGAGGGGGGGGGAGGGGGCCAACAAGGTGGAAATACCCTCCTTGACTTGGTTCCATGGCCAGTAGGGAAACACTAATTAATAATCCTTGAGGTTAATGATGAGCTTGGGTAGAGGTGATCACAAATCACGACAGTTTAACATATCATGGAATTCCCCTAATAATGGCAATCAGTCTCCGTCCTGACTTTCGCTTGGCTAATATCATAGGACTGAAAAATTAACTTAGGTGGGCTGAACTGAAATGACCTTACTAGGGGTCAGTGTAGGTGGTGATGTTTGACGATAATAGATGCTTTCCAGGGCATAGTCTTAGCGGCTCAGTCAAATTATGTTCCAAACAGGGAAATCAGATTCAAACAAAAAATGATCCTAAATGGAGGAAAATAGATTTAAAATATCTGATTGGTCCAAAAGAGAGGCATATATAAGGCAAAACAAAAGAGGGATAGGGAGCAATTAAGAAATCGATATATCAGTTAAGAGAGAAATAAAAAAAGGGAATTAGAAAAGCAAATAGAGATTATAGGTTTAAATTTGCAATAGACTCGAAGACTAACCCAAAATGATTCTTTCAGGTATACAGAGAAAAGATCAGGACAAGAAGGCCCACTCAAAATTCTCGGGTCAGCTCACTGACAGAGATAAGGAAAATGTGTAAAATTTATAACACATACTTCCTCTCAGTTTTTACACAGGAGTATACCATCTATATTCCAGTATGAACATTATGTAGAACAGGACGATAATAAACTGCTCACTATTAGGGTCCACAAGGTGACAGTGTCCTTAGGCAAATAGAAAAAGTTAAAACCTAACAAATCCCAGTCCCTGATAGAACTGTATGCAAGGGTTCCAAAGGAATGTAAAGAGGTAGCTTAGCACACCTTTTGGCTAATCTTTTCAACATAACACTACAAAACTGTTCATGGTGCCAGATAAGTGGAAAAATGTGCAAAAATGTGATACCTAATTTCAAAACAGTGACAGGTCCTTAGCATCGAACTATATACCATAAGCCTAACCTCCATAGTGGGAAATATGAATCAATATTGCCGAGGCAGGTCGTAGCCCCCGTTGAAAAAAGCATAAAGTATACCAACGAATCACAGCAGGTTTTAACAAAGGGGCGTTCCTGCCTACGATTTATAACTTTTTTCACTAAGTGAATTTGGGAGGTAGATCACGGTAATGAATATGATTATTGTGTATATGGACTTCAGTAAGGCTTTTTGACAGGGTCCCACATCAGGACTATTGAGGAAAATTAAGCACGATGGAATAGGAGGAGAAATTTTTTCCTGGATAGAGGCATGGATGACAAATAGGCAGCAGAGATTTTGCATAAATGGGAGAAATCAGAGTGGGGAAGCGTCACGAGCGTGTTCCACAGGGTCAGAGGTTGGTCCCCCTGCTGTTCACAATCTACATAAACGACATAGATGAGGGCATAAAGAAGCGACAGTTCGCAAGTTGGCCGATGACACCAAAATAGGCCGTCGAATTCATTCTGACGAGGACATTCGAGCACTCCAGGAAGATTTGAAATAGACTGATGCAGTGTCGGAGAAGTGGCAGATGCAGTTTTAATATAGACAAATGCAAAGTTCTAAATAGTTGGACAGGACAATAACCAAGCCACAATATAAACTAAAATAATGTAGATCTTATATTACAGCGATTGCGAAAAAGATTTAGGAGTTCTGGTTAGCAGTAATCTGAAACCAAGAACAACAGTGTATAAGTGTTCGCAATAATGCTAATAGAATCCTTGGCTTCATATCAAGAAGCATAAATATAGAGTTCCTCAGGTTGTCTTAACTCTATACCTTCCTTGGTTACAGGCTCATTTAGATCATGCTGGCACATTTTTGGTCACCGATTACAGAATGGATTAAAAATTCCTGGAAATGTACAAAGGAGGATACAAAGATGATCACCATGTATCAGAAACCTTCCCCTATGAGGAT